GATCACTGTATATTGAGTTGCATTGCTTGAGCACATGTTAATATCAATGATGAGTAAATATGAGAAGTGAAGAGAAACTATCCAGTTTAATGATTCTGCAAGAAAATAATCATTAAGTAGAACAAGACTAAAATAGATGCAAGAGATTTTGTATTTTTAGCTTTTGCAAAAATAATTTAAATATCTTTAGTACTAGAAGAAAATTTACAAATATATGATGAACAAAATGTGAAATGCTGTTATGAATACTGTCAATTGGGCATTCTGAGTGCAACTAATTTAATGAAACTGCTGGTGAGACAGCAGTTGGATACAGCATTATTTCTTTGCTTTGATACATATAGTTAAATTATATATTTTTTTCTGCAAGAATGGGTCTAAATGCAAATTAGATCTCTTCAGTTACAATTATTTTTATTATTATTAACAAATATTTATGTAAAAAAGTAGATGTAACATGTAGAATGTTATATTTTTTTTCTTAGCCATTTCACATCTATGTAAGATTTCCAAAACCAGTTAACATGAGATCCATATGGTGGTTCTTATTGATTTCACCAAAGTATTGTCTAAAAATATTTTTTTTAATAAATCACATTAAACTCTTACTGATCAAGGGAAAAATGCATACTTGGATACCTCTTCATTTTTACGTTCAGTCAAACAACCTCAAATGTCACTGTCTCCACATTTCTAACACTTGCAGTGTCATAGCAGAGCATAGAATATGAAATCTAGAATTCCAACACAGTATATAAGTTGTTTAGCAGTAGCAAGTCAAGAGGGTCAGTAAGTCATGGGCACATTTCAATACCAGATGACTTGAAGAATTGCCTCTTAAACCTATATCACTTTTAAAATTCATACGAAAATTGTTTTCTTTATCTCTTTTTAAAGTGGTAAAAGGAGTGAAGAAATATTTCTCACTACCTAACAAGCATTTGTACTCCCTTATAACCTTTCTGACTACTGCTGTTTCAGGCTTTCCCATTCCCACTTCTAACAGAAATTGCTTGGTAGTTCTTAACTCCTTCTTGAAATAGTTCTCTGAAATAGAACCTTAAGAGACTAAGTACACTGTGAAATTTATTGAAAGCATACTATCATTTTCTCAATCTGAATATATCTTCCTAGAAATTTGCTTTCTCTCTCAAAAAACTCTCATTTTTTTCCCTTTTGAATATTCTTTTAGCCAAAATAGAACTTTTTTTCCCCGCCAAGAGTATTTGATTTTTACTCTGTTTTATCCTTATCACATCTCAGATACTGTTTTTTTCTCTAACCAGTGGGAAGGTCTGTTCTACTGTTAGGCTAATCAGGCTATTCAAAATTTCCTTTCAGCCCACGGCACATCACTCCTTTCCCTAAGATTAAAACTCTTAATTTTAAAGACTTTATTAGTAGGTAATATAGATGACATAATTTTACTTTTCATTTTTCAAAATTTGAAAAAAAAATGTGTAGAATGGGCAAATTCTTATGCAGATGTTATTACTGTGGAACAAACAGCAAGTGGAAAATTGGTTGCAGTGCATCATTGGAGTCTTTTATACTGTGAACAATCATTTGGATTCCAATAAGCAACTCCTGATGTACAAATTTTTACCTGTCTATCAGTACTCAGAGCTATGGCTACATGCACAGTTATGGTGCAGCAAATTGGAATACAGATTAACAAACCTCTTGAAATAGTTATTCACAAGTATAAGTGAAAGACCATTTGCCATAGCTGTCACTGGGTATAAACACTCATTTACCATGGACTGAATACCTGAAATGGTTAATGCTGATCTGACAATTCATATTGAATAACTTCAAGGTGCACTATTGAAAATTCATGTTATTGAATAACACTCAAGTCAATAGCACATACAAGTATTATCACAGCATTCAAAGTCTTTTTAAATAAAAGCACAGAATTAACAGTGAAATGTATATGTAGAGGTATTTGAGAGAGGTTTTACATAAAAAAAGTTCCTTAAGTTACAAACCAAATAATGAAAAGATCTTTTTTGACTCTTTTTAAGAACTTAAAAAAAAAAAAGAGAGAGAAAAGAAAAAAAAAAAAAAACTTACACTTCCAGAAATAGTCTTTCAAACTCAAAAACTGGCCAAAACCTACATGTTCAACAAAGTTTCCTCTTATAGTAAAACAAAGCTTCCTGACACAGACTCTGCCAGAACAAAAGACTGTTTAATCTCTGCTGGTTTCTCAAGGGAAGAGAGAGTTTCAACAGGGATTTTGCTCAAGCTGGTTTTTGAAGAAGCTTTAGCTTAACACACACACTCTTTTCTAGAAAGAAAGAGTCATAGTTCATCCAGGTTTAATACAACTGCAATACGTCTGGCAGCAAGAAAGTTGCCTAAGTAGTGAGCTGGCCTACTGAAATTTGTCTCTTTAATACAACAGGCAACACAAACCAGCTCTTTCGTCAAGCTGTCACTGTCTGCATGGTGTCCATAAGAGCGCAGGAGTGGCTGTGCTCCGATCCAAGGTCCAGCTAGGGCAGGACACTGCCTCTGGCACTGCTGGAAGCAGGTGCCCCAGAAGGGTAAAAGAGAATAATCCCTTCCTTTTCTCTTGGTAAGCAATGTAAGTTTTGCTTCCACTTTACCTGGGAATCTAATGTTGAAATATTACTTTGCCCTATCATTTATGTTAGGTACTGCGCCATTAGGTTCATAACTTCTTTACTGAAAACTGAAGTAAAATATTTCCATTGCAATAATACTTTTTTCCTATGTGCCAAAAAAAGTTTGTTATTTGTTTTAATTTTCTACTTATTATGTAAATCAAATCTTTTGTGCATTCTCTTTTTTCTACACTGCCTAATATCTGACAGAGGTAGTCAGAGATCTACCTGTTAACCAAATCTCTGATCTACCTGTTAACCAAATTTATTTTCATCCTTCTTGGTTTCTCTTCTGATTTTTAATATCTCATTACAGGGGCTTAAAATCCAAGAAAATCCTCCATGACTTTTTCTCGTCCTGCTAGGAATAAAAGCTATTAATAGTATTTTCACTTTTGAATAAAATTAGTCCCCTCCTCCTCTGGATTCTGTCATTAATTCAAGTGCTTTTAGCCTCACCAATTTTTTAGTTTCTCAAAGTCAGCTTTTTAAAAACACCAGATGTCTGTTACCGACTAGCAAATTTTATTATTTTTGCAATTTAGTTGGACCTATGTTCATGACTGCATGATCCAAATCTGTTTTCTACTGTCTGTGTGCTTTTACTAGGTATAAAAGGCCACATACTAGGCCACATTAATCTCTTATTTTAGATGAGCAATATCTGTCCTGCCCTAGGACATCTCAGAATGTATCTCAGAAACGTTATTTCCAATTAATGTCTAGTAAATAAAATGTGGAATAAATAGGAAAAGTATGCGATAAATTACAACATAACTAGAACTTAGAGTTGTGGTAAGATGTTGAATTACAGAAGAAAGTACAAAAAACAAGCTGGAAGAGTGATGGAAAGACTGGAAAAAATGGTTTACTAAGACATGTAAAAGAGCTTAAGCTAATTAACTTATCTAAAGGGACATTGAAAAGTATCTTGATAACTGTGCTTAAGAAGAAGAAATACTTATAGAAGAAATGCTAATTCCCCAAAACCTCACCCCCAGGTAGGTAGAGAAATGCATAACAAGAATCCCCGGCCAGATTAGGTGTTAATCACCGAGGCAAACTGGTAAAAGGCCACGCCTATAGGACATACCATTCTGAGAGCATATGTGCATTTTGGAAGGTTTACTTCAGCAAAAGGACAATGACAATGTTACAGGAAATGTAACATCTTGATATGCTGGAGATCAATTAGATGATCTAATGGTCCCTTCTGACCTTATGTTCTAATTAACCTATGAAACTCCTTTCCTTCCCTGAAACTCCTTGGCACATTAAAAGTTTAAGTCCCACAGTTCTCACAGGTGTTTTAAGAACATAGCAAGCACTTTAAACACTAGCTTTCTACGGGAACAGCAAGAGAAAAACATGGTTAAAATCATCTTGCCGGAAGTCTACAGTCTGACGGTTTCTTTTGGGAATGATGCACCATCTCAACCCTAATTCACTGAGCACAGAGGACCTTTTGCTGATATCCCTGTACAGAACACAGGTATCACTATGCAGCAATTCTTCCTGTTTTAGAGGAAAAAAAAAAAGAGTTTAAAGGCAAAGAAGGATTGCAACCTGCCTGAATTGCCATTTTTTAACAGATTATGTTTGCACTTTTATTTTTTTTGACTCAGCATGTGCCCTGTTATAAGAAAGAAATTTGGCGCAGTGGGAAAAAAAAAAAAAAAAGATAAATAAGCAGATCCCTTACAGTTGGCTGGCATTGGTTTCTTTCAGTGACACTGCAAATTTTCAGCCTTTTTCAGGATCAAGTCCCTACATTTTATTTTCATCTCTTTGGAAATATCTCTGTAAGTTTAATTAGTCTTTAACTTGAAAACGACAGCAGGGGAGCTATTCTATCTAAAAAATAGAAAACAAGCTCGCATCTGTTTTGCTTTCCAAACTCACAGTACTCTACACTTAACAGCAATAAAAAGAAATGATGAATTTCATGCCTCAAAAAAAAAAAAAAAGCGGTTTCAGAGTACGTTAGAAGTGGGATATCTTCACCTTCCTAGAAGATACCTTTTTATTTTTTTAGCAAAATAAATTTTAGTGCAATGAGATGATTAATCCTCACACTACATTTTCCAGTGCTATTGTCATAAACTGTATTTGCATGCAGTTTTCTCACCTTTTACATTTTAGGCATAATGCCTGTTTTGCTTCAACATTTGTCCATCTGGGCACAATGGGAGGCACACTGACTCAAACAAGATATTCTGTGGTTGTACAGAGTAGGAAGAGAGATGATTTTTAAATGAAAGTTTGTCACAAAAATCCTCATGAATAAATTCATAAAGTCAGTGTTCACACATACTCTCTGACCTTCAAAAAAATTGAATACTGTAGATTAAAAATTCAATGGACACTATGGAGGAATTTAATTGTGATTCCAGACTTGTGGGGTATGTAAGAGAAATAGAAACAATGGATGGAAACATCTCTATGAACTGGAAGCAGACACATATACATGCAGCATTTGACAGTGGATAGCTGATTTGAATGTGTAAGGGGGATAATGAAACCTACTGCCATTCCATCAAATCTTAAAAAAAAAAAGGGCATGATCTCAAGGGAATAATAAGCAGATACCTTTTGCTTGGCATTTTTTTACAAATAAAGGCCTGTATTTACACATTCAAGAAAGCCGGTTAACAAATTAGAGCCCTTATTAATCTGCCTGTATGGAGTATATATGTACGTATATGTATGTTTACTCGTATTATTTTTGGTCCATAGATGACTGCCTTGTTCTATATCTCTATAGAAATGTCACTTCAGTCTGTGGGATGTACCGGCCTCACCGGAGGCTGCCGATACACAGAGAGGAGTCTGGTCAGGGGGCAAAAGCAGTGGTTGGGACATCCCAGAGGGGTGGGGGCATCAGCATAAAACCTGCCAGAAGCTGCGGCGAGCAGGCCAAAAACAGGCCAACTCCAGGAGCAGCGGTAAGGGAAGGGTTAACTTTAAAAGTTTGAAACTGGCCGGACTTGTCAGTCTTAACACTGCGATCTCTGATTGCTCAGTGGATGCTTAATGTGTCACTGATGTGCCTGCAGCTGCAGTAGGGTCTGGGTGGTAGCACCGAGATGCTCTGTAGCCCCCTGCTCCTGTGGGCCTGCTCATTAGGTGCTTTGCAAGGGCGGCAAGCAAAGACCTTGCTTGCCTGCTAGTGGGACACTGCTCACAGGTCGGCCAGGATTGGGAGGCTTCACATCACTCCGCAGAGGCATGAAGGGATCTCCAAGCAAGGCTCTCCGGGTTGTGAGAGGTTTGTTGTCCAGAGGCACTGCATACATTTATACGAGCTCTTACAGACCATACTCTGCCTGTGGTAACTGTCCCTCTCTCTGTTCTGTTTATAGCTTTTCTTTAGCTTTCTTTGGAAAACTTATGTGTGTAGATTGTCAACCTTTCCCTTGTGGCTTAAGTTATGGCCTTTCTAAAGAGAAAAATGTGCTGTGGGTGTTGAGAAATGTCTGGGAGTTTGGAGGGAAAATCTGCAAAGACCATTTTGTTAGTTTAGGTACCTCTTTGTGGGGTGCTTGTCTTCAAGGCTTGGATTTCTCTTTCTCACAGGATGGTGAAGTAAGAAATAAGAGTTGTCCCAGCAAGCACAGAGCAGGAGCGGTGTTCCACAGAGCACTTCAGGCATTTGGCTCCACATAAATGCATGGCAGCTTCATCTACAGGTATTTTTCTTTTTCTTTTTTTTTTTTTATGTATGTCACACACATTTTGTGACAGCTTTGAAAGGAGTTTTAGTGAAATATTTGCAGACTAGAAAACTCTTAATTTCTTTTTTCTTCTCTCTCTCTCTCTCTTTTTTTTTAACATTTTAAATGCTATGGTGTTTAAAATGTGCCATGAGAATCTTTATGAAGATATCGTTATGAAGATATCTCATATGTCGTGTGTCTTACCACCTAGGAAAGCAGAATGAAAACAGAATTATGAGATTAGTTAGAAAATTCCTCATTTCAAAGTCCAAATATTTTTAATACTTGAAAATGCTGTGCATCTCTGTTCTGCCAGTGCATCAGTATGTGCTTCCCTCTACTGCAGGACACACATGCCTCTGCCTTATGATAACTCTTGCAGCTTAATAAATTATACTAGGCATGCCTGCCTTTTAGAAATGGAGAGAGTACAGCCTGCATTTTAAATCCAACTTGCAGTTGATAATAGGAGTCTGTAGCTAGTGTGGGTGACCGTATTTCCTGTCCGACAGTTTTTATTTATCTTCCAAAGTTTAGATCATAAGAAATGCCATGCTGGCTAAGACTAAAGAACCGCTATGGCTGTTTCTTGACTCTGTCTGTTAGGTATTAATAGATTCCCAGCTGTCATTGTTTCCAAAAGAGTAATGGTGTGGAGAGAATATGTACTTTCAGCATTTTTGCTCATATAGTTAAAGCTATGATTATGTAGTATGAAATATATAAACAGCTTTGCAGAACCTCATGTGCTTATGAATGAGGTGCCCAAATATTGTAAAATTGGATTGTCATTAATGAGGTGCTAAAAAGGTGCTACATTTTTATTTTAACTTCTCGATTGTCCTTTTCTATTCATATGTGCTTAGCAATTAACATATGTACTTAGCAATTAACTTAACAATTTGTCTGAAACAATCAGGGATGAATTTTAGTTTTATAAAGTAAAAATATATTTGTGGAGTTTTGTGGGGAATTGCCTTTAGAAATACACTAAATATTGTACAAAATGTCAAGAGTGTATATGTGATTCATCTTTTTGTATGAAAAACAAAATGGTGTACATTCAACAATTTCTAAACTGTGCAGCATAAATTGCAGAAATTTAAATGACTGGCCTATTGCATTTTTGGATCACATCTGAAGAAAACAGGTATTCTAGATAATGAGTTTATATTGCAAACAGATGGTCTTTCTTTCAGAACTGGTACCCAATGCATGAGGAGATTCTAGTTTGGTTTTGATTTTTTACAGTATGTAGTAGGTATATTCTTTATTATACCCATATTATACAATTTTTATTTTATTTTCTCGCTTTTAAAAATGATTCAGGTGATGCTTCCTGATATGCTTTTGTTTTGCTGCTTTTGTCAGCCTGTGCTGCTGCTGACCCAAAGATGCAAGAAAAGATTTGACCAGTCTTCACCAGGTCTAAATACTCGGGTTCAACAGTTTTTGTACAGATTGGCCGTGGGGAAAACTGCTACTTACCGGACACAGACTGTAGTGCTAAAAATAGCTGTCTGCAATACTGCTGCTTTACTGAGAGAGGCACTGGGAGCTGGGGGTACCCATGAGGTGTGCAGACAACTGGAGTTAAAAACTGAAGGCAGAGATCTTACAAAGAAGCAGATCATGGGCATGCATATCCTGCAATAGTTCTTCTGTACATTGAAGCTGTACATTGTGCAAGAGCTGGGTCTAGGAAAATGGTCCAGATCCCTGTACCTAGATGACTGCTCTGGGAAAAGGTTTTCATCTAGGACCAGCCAGAGTCTAAAATAACAGGCCTGCAGAGAATACTCAAGGGAGGAGGAAAACTGTAGATGTGTCAGGCCTTCATGACTCTTTCTTGCCATAATAAGAATTTCTCCATGGTGAGTCTTTAGAGTTTTGCCATCTTACTTTTACCCAAAGCGCAGTCACCTGCATCTGTCCACTTTAAACTGGACAGCTAAGAGCTGTAGACTGGAAATCCCGTAAGAATTAAATCATGCCCATGGAGGGATGATGATGGTGATGGTGATGAGCCATGAAGATATCAGGATCCAATGAGATCCTGATTAACCATTGCATGCCTAGAATCATAGAATCATAGAATGCTTAAGGTCGGAAGGGACCTCCAGAGGTCATCTAGTCCAACCCCCCCTGCACACACAGGGTCACCTAGAGCATGTGGCACAGAACTGCATCCAAGCATTTGAAGATCTCCAGAGAAGAAGAGTAAACAACCTCTCTGGGCAGCCTGTTCCAGTGCTCTGTCACCCTTTCTGTCAATAAATTTTTCCTTAAGTTCCTGTGGAACTTTTGGTGCTTCAGTTTGTGGCCATTACCTCTAGTTCTGTTGGTGGCCACCAGAGAAAAGAGGTCAGCGCCATCTTCCTCACTGCCTCCCTTGAGGTACTCATAGACACTGATCAGATCCCCTCTCAGCCTTGTCTTCTCCAGGCTGAACAGGCCTAGCTCTCT